TGATAATTCATCAATTTTTAAATGACCATCTAAATATTTAGTCATTAATTCTTCGTCTTGTTCGATTATTCTTTCGATTAATTCTTGCCGATATTTTTTAGTTTTTTCTAATAAATTAGGCGGAATTTCCTTAGTTTGATACTTTTCTTCCTTGTGACCTAATTGAAAATAATGAGCTTTTTGTTCCACTATGTCAACTATTCCTTCTAATTCTTTGCCAGCACCAATAGGAAACTGAATTGGCAAAGGGGCAGCATGGAGTTTCTCGCGAATGCTTTTCACACCTTCATCAAATTTTTCAACATTGTCAACTCCGTCCATTTTATTAACAAAGATTAGGCGAGGAATTTTGTATTTATTGGCTTGTCGTCAAACTGTTTCGGTTTGAGCTTCAACTCCTTTTTTGCCATCTAAGACTACTATGGCTCCATCCAAAACCCGCAAAGACCTTTCCACCTCAGCAGTAAAGTCAACGTGTCCGGGTGTATCAATGATATTTATTTGATGTTCTTTTCAGTAGACGGTGGTAGCAGCTGATTGGATAGTAATTCCTCGTTCTTGCTCTTGATCCATGGAGTCCATGGTAGCTGTTCCTTCATGGACTTCACCAATTTTGTGAATTTTTCCACTGTGGAAAAGTATTCGTTCAGTGGTGGTAGTTTTGCCAGCGTCAATATGCGCGGCAATGCCAATATTACGGATATGTACTAATTTTTTTTCTTTGTCTGGTTCGGCCATATATTATAAGTTAATTTTAAAACATTGACTTTCTATTATGTCTTTATGGGGTGCCAAAAAAGCGGTCAATATTTTTACATATTCTAATATATCAATTTCAACGATAACTAATAAGTGCTCACATTATTACCAAAATAAGTCCATAAACAATTAATAATCAATACAAATCAACCAAATTTTCACTTACCTTTGGAAAATGAAATATAAGCAAACCTGATTAAAAAAAGAAAAATAAAAGGGATGGAGACAAAAAACCCTCATGTTAAGTATTTAGCACTAATGTTATCCATTACATTATTTTACACTTTTGTTTGGGATGAATTTCGATGCTTGCTTCTATCGATCGGGAACGATCATTAGTTTTCCAGCCTAGCTCATTATTACTTTTTTTTTTTATTTCATTGTCTAATCTAATAGATGAACCTTTATGATTATTAATAATGCGATCATCGGGATTAAGGAAAGGAGAAAAAGCATTTTTGACTAATTTCCCAGAAAAAACTTCTTCTTTGCGTTCTTCTATCTGCTCGGAATAATCTATTCCGTAAACTATCATATTAGCGAAATGTTCACAATTCCTATTAGCCAATTCATAATAACCTTTACGATATTTAGACTCCTCAGTCCAAGCAATTTGCTCGGCTATTCTCCGATAATGCTTAAAAGGAATTATTGGATGGTGTCTGATTATTTCTCCACTACTGCCTTCCAAAAAAATACTTCATCAATCAATCCTTGCAACATTATCTTTTTTAGTCAAATGACAAACAAGCTTATTGCCTATGTATACTCCAACATGATAGAAGTGATTAACGATAGGATTTTCATTTCTTGCTTTGACAGTATCTAAGGGTTTGAGTTATTTATCAGGTTCACTTGTTCATCGGGGCAAATTTTCCTTTACAACATAAGGTCTGATAATAAAAAGTATCGAAGGATGAAATAACAATATAGGATCAAAATAATTTGTAACGTAAATCAGACGATCTTTTAAAATTCCTGTTTCTGCCCTAGCATCAGATAAATAATTGTGTTTACCACGGCTTTCTTTGCCTCAATAATTACAAGAAATATCGATTGGAAATATTGCCGGATTTTGGCTACTGTAAACTGGGTCGTAAACCAATAAAAATACTCGATAATAACCATCATAATAATTGATTACAGTAGTAATGAATTTATTTTAAAGGAATACAATTTTTAACGAGTTATTGCCGAAGAAAAAACCTTACCAGATTCTGCTTCTTTGTAGAGGATTTCCTTTTTCTTGAAGGCTTCACCGGATTTATTGTAAGCGTTTTTGATTTCCTCAGCTAATTTTTCATAGATAGGGTTAGTGCTTTTTTTTTCTTTGGCGCCATTTACTAATCAGCGTAGGGCTATTTTCGTTGACCGAATATCATCAATTTCTTTGGGAACCCGATATTTGGAACCACCAATTTTGCGACTTTTCATTTCGATAGCTGGTTTAACATTAACCAAAGCTCCTTCTAAAATAGTTAAAAAAGGAGTTGAAGTATTTTTTTCAATTATTTCGGCTGATTGGTAAACTATGTTGGTGGCCTTTCTTTTTTCTCCGCACCTCATTACCTTATTAATAAGTTGACTAACCACCGGAGAAGCAAATTTTTTATCAGGTTTAACTGGATGTTTTTTAATTACTGTTTTTTTACGCATTATTTATTGTTGAATATTAACTTTACTTATTTTTTGCTTTCTTTTACTCGCTTGGCTCCGTAGAGAGAACGACCTTGTTTTCTATCCTTTACTCCTTCGGTATCACCACAACCACGAATGACATGGTATTTTACTCCAGATAAGTCCTTGGCTCCGCCACCACTGATGAGCACCGAAGAATATTCTTGTAGATTATGTTTTTCACCAGGAATATAAACAGTGATTTCTTTTTTGTTTTTCAATACTACTCGGGCGTAGGCTCGGTTAGCGGAATTAGGTTTGCGGGGTTTCAGGACTCCCACTTTTTTACATATTCCGGACTTTTGAGGACTATCCAAAAAAGAATAAGTTTTGTGCAATGAGTTCCAACTTGATTTCAAAGCCAGTTTTCTGGTTTTTCTAATTTTGGCCACGCGGGGATTTTTAACCAATTGATTAATTGTCGGCATATTATAATATTAATTTTAGACGTATAGAGTAAATGTATGTAAATAACAACAGAAGTTGCCAGTAATAATTACTTAACCAAAAAGTGCAAATTTCTTTCTTTGGCTAATTTTTGTAATTTCTTGAAACTTTCTTGTTTTAACTTACGAGCGGCATTTTCGGACTTATTAATTATCTTGCTTAATTCGGAAAACTTATAACTTTTGGCGAATAACGATAAATAACTTTTGACCAGTGGCAAATTACTAATTTTTTTTTCTTCAAAGGAGTATTTTTCCAGCAATTCTGGATTAGATTTATCACCCAATTTCATCTTTTTTTTTAACTCTTTTTTTTCCTCTTCGGTCGCTAAATAATAAATATCAACTAAATTGGAAGGAGTTATTTTATACATTAATCTAACTAACAAAATTGCCTCTCGATTTCCTAAGGAATTAATTAGATTATTAGTTTGAATTACCGTATCTTGGTGGCGAACCTGGTTAGCAGTTAATTCAGTATTTTCGTCATCGTGCAAAGTATCTACTAACGAATAAGATTTGCTCTCCTTATCATCATTGCGATAATTATTATCATAGTAAATTACACTTTTCTTTTCTACAACGGCGGAACTCTGGTTGATAAGCTGATTTTTGTTAATGAAACTTTGAATATACTGCTTAATTCAATAACCAGCATAAGTAGCAAAGCGATTTTTACTATTCAAGTCAAATTTCTCAATCGCTTTCGGTAGCGAAGAAATTCCCTCGGCGGTCAATTCCTCGTGGTCAACTTTGCCCCCGAAAGAAGAATAACCCTTAACAATGTACTTCACCAAATTTTGATTATAGTGGAGCAGAAAACGAATGGCTTTTTTGCCCTTAGTAATTTTTTCCTCGCCCAATTTTTGTAATTCTTTTTCCTTTTTTTTTAATTCGGTTTTTAATTTTTCAATCTCTCCGGGTAAGACTTTCTTTTTTTTGGTTCCTTTTTCCTTTTCAGAAATTTCTTTTTGTAAACTACCAATGGCTGAGAAAAGCGTTACTACTGGCTTAGCTGCTTTCAATAATTCTTTCTCCTTTTTCGGTTTTAAAGTAAAAATTTTATTCATAATTTAACAGGAATTTCCTGACGTTTTCTAATTCTTGTACTACCATATCCATAATTTTTTCTTTGTGATTGGTTGGGGAAAAAGTAATTGGCGGAAAATCATAATAACTATCCGAGTTGTTCAAAGTATGGTTCTCAAAATAAGAATTATTGGAAGGGGACGATATATAGTAATTATAGATATTATAGTATCTTTCTCGGTTGACTCTAATTAGAAAAAATTGAACTTTTTCCAGAGTAAATAATCAAAAAATTCGTTCCTGAGCACAAAGTGAAATTATTTTTTTTTCCTTTTTCTCGATTAACTCTCGACCATAAATAGTTTGTAAATAATGAGTATGGAAGGTTGGAAAATTTCACTGGATAAAATGAGGCTCTATTTCAGCTTTGCTTCAATTGGTTAAGAAACTTATTTTGTTGATTAAGAAATCATAAATATTAGGTTTAAATTTGTGAAAAATTTTGGCTATTTCACTAATAAAACGGTTCATTCTTTGTGGATTATCCTGAACTTTTCCTTTGACAAAATAATAATTAAGAATAAATAGATAGGGATTTTCTCGGTTTTGGAGAATAGTTTGAACCTTTTCTTGGTCAAGTTGACGACAAATTTCGTCGGGATCGCCAGAGTAATAATTTTTTATTATTTCGCAATCGATTTCCCACAATAATAATTGTACTGCTGAATTAATAGTGGCTTCTTGTCCGGCTTTGTCGCTATCCAAAAAGAGAATAATTCGTTTCTTTAATGCGTTTAGAAGTTTAATTTGTTCTTCTGATAAATTGGTTCCTAGTAGTGCTAGACAATTTTCTACCCCTATTTTATTCAAACTAATTACATCAAAGAATCCTTCGACCAAATAGCACTCTTCGGCACGATTTTTTTTCACTGCTGAGTAATTATATAATAAAAAAGATTTTTGATAATGCTGATAACTAGGTAAATATTTATATTTTCCTTCCCCAGGTGCTATTTCCCCAATTTTGCGAGCGGCATAAGCCACTGTTTTTCCTTCGGGATTGGCTAAAGGTATAATTAAGTGTTGAGCAGAAAAAAAATCACAAGTTTGGTTATTGTCCGTTATTCAAACTAGGTTAGTGGTTAATAAATCTTCTGGCGAAAAGTTATCATTTTTTTGGGCAAAAAGTAAATTGCTTAATTGTCGGTTATTAATACTACAACCTAAGCCAAAATAGTCAATGGTTTTTTTATCCAATTGGCGCTTGGCTTGGAGATAGTTCAATACTTCGCAACCAGGCTGCGTCAGTAAATTGTGTTGATAGATATCGGTTATGAGCGAAAATAAATAAAAAGTTTTGTTTTGACCTTTTTGTTCTTGACTTTTTTTCTCTTGTAAAATTGATAAAGAAAAATAGCCCATTTGGCCGATTTCTTCAACCGCTTCTTCTAGGTCAATTTTCTTATACTGGGCTCAAAAGTTAAAGATATCACTAGCCTTAAAACCACAAGTAAAGCAAGTAAATATTTTGCGATTAGGTTCAAAACTACAACTAGGATTTTTATCACTATGAAAGGGACAAAGGAAAAAAACACTCCGTCCCATTTGTTTCAATTTAAGGTTTAATTTGTTAGTTAGTAAATGAAGGATATCGTTGGTATTTAATAAATCCTTGTATCTCATTATTATTAAATTTTACAAAAGACCAACATCCAAAAAAGTTTTATATATATAATTTAATTAATAGGATAAAAAAAAATTTAAATTATAACAATAAAGACAAAGTTACAATAACACAATAATCATGTCAGCGAAAAAAAAAAAAAAAACAACTACTTTGGGACTATATTAGAAGAGTAAAATCAGTGGAGGTCAGGCGACTTTTAAATTTTAAAAAATAAACAAAAGACTTGATAATAATTTGATTAGTAATTAAGGTTAAAAAAATACAAAACAAAACATAATAAATAAAAAACTATGAATTATAATTTAGACCCAAAATTAAAATGTGCAAAATGCCAACAAAATTTACCGTGATTAAAGTGCAGTCCTGACTTTTTCTGTTACTTTGTTAATGGTAAGGATACCAACTATTGTGATGGATGTCTACCCCACGATTTATTAGAGCAAAGAATTGAACGAGAACATTTTGTTTGTTGTTGTAAAGGAGGAAAGTTATTCAATAAATGCCATGACTTACGAAGGAACATTCGCAATAACCCACTCTATTGAGACAACGGAGAATTTAAATTTGAATGTTATTATTGTGGTAGAAAGTTAGGAAAAAATGGTGAAAAAATTTATGAGTGTGAGGAACCGCATTGTGAGCGAAAATTTTGTAGTTGTTCCTGCCGATCACGGAATTTGAATTGTCAGAAACCAAACCACCAAACTCAGAAAAATCAAAACTCTCCAAATGAAAACTTCGAACAAGTACAAAAAGATTATCGGCAGGTTCACAAAAAAGCACAGAGTTGGTGGGATACTCTTTCTAGTTCCGAGCGAGAAAAAGAATTAGCGAGGGTGGTTGAAAATATGAAATTAGGAAAATACTGGGCGAATAATGTGAAAGAAGGGGAAGCTTCTGCGTCCACAAGCGATGGTTTTTATATGTGAATAATTAAAAATGGAAAATTTGTTTCTGATACTCCTCACAAAGTGCCGATTCAAATTGCGGAAGAGTTTATGGAAAGAGAATTTGGGAAGGTTGATTTAGCCTTAGTATTGAGAAAAGACTACCAAATAATAAAAAAAGATGGTAATGATGATAAAGAAAATTCGCCACCTAATCTGGCTTCATCTCAATCCTTAACTAATTCAAACGGCAAGAGTGATAATCCAGTAAATTCTCCCAACTCAAACCCAGAACCAGATCAATCGCCAGCAAGTAGCATTAAAACTATTAAATTTGAAAACAAAGAGGATGACGACAATAATAATCCTACTGATCCCGTTGAAAAATCATCTAATAAAAAACTAGTTATCAATTTAAGAGACATTAAACAAATAACTCTAACCCCCGATGGTAATTTAGTTATTGAATTTAATAAGTCTGAAAATAATAATAGTCAAGAAACACAAATTATAACTGATCAACAAATAAATAGCAGTCAAGAACTACAAACGGTTAAAAATTATTTACAAAAAAGCAAACAAAAGAGCGCTAGTCAGCAAGAGTTAAATAATATTTTGAATACTAATTCTAACACCACAGAAAAACCCAAGGACAACAGCAATATTCTCTTAGTGGTTGGTATAGGTGGAGCCTTAACGATAGGGTTATTAATTGGCTTGTTCATAAGAAGAAAAAGGAAGGTTGGAAAGAATTAATTTTTTTTCAATAATAAAAAGCACATGAATGAAAAATTAAAGATAGTTATAGAAACATGTGCTTATGTTCTAGCGATATTCGTTTTATTTTATCTATTTTTAAAAGTACTTAAGGAATCTAAAACTTTTCGATTAGTGGTTTCAATTTTCGCTTGGGTAGTACTTATTGGTTCGACAATTATTTATACAGAAAAAATATTAAAACATTTGGGATATTTGGGAAATAATTAATTAGTCTTTCCCAGGTTTGGTTTGAGGATAGATAATCAATTAATTGGCTCTTTCCCTCGTTCCAACAGCAAATTATTAACTTTTGAAAAAGGTCGTGAGCCAAAAAAGCCATGCTCAGCACTGTAAGGAGAAGGGTGAGTACTAAATAAAATATTTTGGCTGTTAATTTGGCATTCTTCACCAATTTTTTTGGCTTTTTGTCCCCAAAATACTCAGACTAACTTTTCATCGTAATTTTTTAGATAGGTTAGCAATGAATAAATAAATTCTCTTCACCAATTCATATGGGAAAGTGCTTGGCCGTCTTTTACGGTCAGAGCTGTATTAACTAAAAAAACACCTTCTTTAACCCAAGGAAATAAATCACCTTTGGTCGGTAGTGAGCAACCAAGGTCCTTGCTTAATTCCAAAAAAATGTTTCTTAAACTGGCTGGTATATAGTTAGTTTTTTGAGTGCTAAAAGCAATTCCGTCGGCTACTTCTGGTAAATGATAAGGGTCTTGTCCTAATATTACTACTTTTATTTTATCGAGGGAAATTTCCCGAAAAAGCCGAAAAATATTTTCTTTTCTGGGTCAGCATTTATAATTTCGGTATTCTTCATTTAGTTTAGCCAGCAAAGGAAAGAAATATTCTTTTTGGGCTTCTTGTTGAAAAAATTTCCCCCAACTTTGGTCAATTTTATCTAAACGGAATTCTTTTGTTAAAAAATTATTATTCAATTGTCTATATAGATTTTTTAGGAGATTTAATAATTTTTAACTTTCAAACTTTTTTTTAATTGCCGCACCAATTGCCACAGCAACTATTATTATGAAAAAGATGATACCTCCTCATAATAAACCAGAAGTAAATTTGCTTTTATTATTTGGCTTTCCTCTATTTGATTCTTTCTGTAATTCGTCCTTATCTAGCCGGGAATTATGCTGAATAATCGCTTCTCTCATTGTGCGAGCAAATTGAGAAATGGCACGGGTATCAGTCAATTGTTCCAAATAATTTTGCCAACTAGTTGCATTATTTCACAACTTTTTATCTAAATCTCCAACTGAAACTTGGTTGTATTTATTGAACATGGCTTGTATTTGTTGACTTACTATTTGGCGGGCAGTGGTAAGGGGAGAATTAATTAATTTTTGGTTCTTTTTATTGCCAGCAAGAATGATCATTTTTTTAATTTTTGCCACAAAGTCAGCAATTTCTTGTGGGTCAGTCAAGTTTGTTAAATATTGGTTTCAACTAGTTGTCTCTTTTCACAAATTATTTCCTATTAGTTCTTGGTCTTTAACTCCATATCTATCAAATAATTTTCTAATTTCCTCTTCAGCTTTCTTTCTTGCTTCATCCAAGGGAAAGTTTAGAATTTTTTTAATATTTTTCTCGGAATTGTTGTTATTGTCAGCAATTGGGTTTTTTGACTTAGGAGCATTTGAAGTTGGTTGTGGTGGAGTGGGTTGCTCGGCTTGTTCGCCTTCTTGGTCTTCGTTTGAAGGAGAGTTAGGGTCAGAAGGCGGCGGGGAATTAGGTATTGGACCATTGCTAGAGTTAAATTTAGCAATTAATTCTTCCATTAGGTCTATTGCTTGTAATTTGGCAGCAATTATCAAGTCGTTAGTTTCTCTTCGTTTTTTGTTGTTTCTTATTCTAGTTTTTTTTCGATTTTCGTCATCTTCGGAATTTAAATATCACAACTTTTTAAACACCAAGTGCAAACTAGGTTATTAGGAATCGCGAAGTTTTTCTTGTGGTCTTTATTGATCTGATGTCAGATATCATAAAGCAAAATAGATACTAAATTACGTTCTACTATCCCAAACATTCTAATTTGCTTAGTGATTTTGAATTTATAGATATCGGCATCCTGGATATTTTGCTCGATTCATTGGCGAGGGTAACCTAGATTTTGAAAGACTTTACTAAGATTAGTCTTTTCCAATAACGGATAACATATTTGGCTTTGTTCTAGTTGCTTAATAGTTTTGCTGGAATAATCCTGTAAAGATTTTTCAATAATTGCTCGATAATTCTTTATTTCCTTATTGGGAACCTGATTGGTAAAGGAGAAATGTTTGTTTTTTATGGTGATGCATTTTAATAAGGTGTAAAGGAAAGAAAAGCGAATATTATTTGACGGTTTATTTTCCGGCATTAGCAAAATTAACTAACTCCTTTAACTCTATTTCTTGAGTCGAAATTTCTTCTGCGCTTAAACCAGCCCGAGTTTTTTGTCAGGGGCCTTCATGAGATTTATCCACCACATCTCATACTTCTCAATTTTGGTAAGTTTGATAAGTTTGCTCGCAGATATTAATGACTTCTTTTTTTTTTAAAACGGGAACACTAGCGAACATTTTATCTAAGTCTGAGCAACTAGTCATTTCATCAAAAACACTTCGCAGTGCGGGACCATGCTTCCAAGCTTGAAATTTTTCTCCAAAAAAAAGTAAGTTGTCCTTTAATCCTTCCAAAAAAGCAAAATAAATAAGTTTTTGAATAAATAAATGCGAAGTAATCCCCTTGCTATAGAAATATTTAGCAATTGCTAATGGTTTAATTTCTAGCGACTTTAACTCGGCGGTTATAATGATTTTTTTCATGATAGTATATAATTCATTTTTAGGTTAAGTTAATTTAAATA